GGAGAAGGAAACCTGCTGGAACTAGGCCTTGCAGCCTGCATTTGGGATGTGGTATTTTGGCACCACGGACACATCGTGGTTTTGTGACTCCCTGACGGCTGCGAAGCAGGAGCAGTACTTACCACAGCTGCCCCAGCGTTCAGGACTGGCAAAGGGCTTTCAGGTCCTCAGGTGAAAAGTACCCCTGAAATGCCGGGCACTGCCCTTATCAGTGGGAGGTGGGTGCCGCGCACCCGGGGCTGGCACACGGGCCACCTTCCCCGCTGTGCAACTGGCCCAATACACCACAGTGTCCCCCCGTGAAGACCCCAGCCTAACTTGTGTCCTGCTCCTCCGGCTGCCAATCCTGAGGCTCCTGGGCTGCCATTAAACTGTGTCACCCCATAATTCATTCTCAGGATGAGTGGAGACTGCCCGGCCTTGTACGGGGCTGCTGACTAAGGCAACGACAGGAGTGAACAGTTTTAACCTGAAGTTATGCATAAATGTAGGCAGCTCTGATGGTGAAAGCGAACCCCAGTTGGCATCAAAAGCTGACATTAAGAAATTCAGCCAGCAGACCACAAATTGATTTGTAGCACACCCAGCACACCTCACTGCCTCTCCGACTTCTTACTGTATAATAAAAAGAATAAAAGAAAGCAGGAGTCAATACAGAGCGGTGCTGTAAGAAAGCTGTGGGGCAGAAGGCAGGCACCTTCCCACCGGCGCTGGGGAAGCACAGCTGAAGTGAAGCCAGCACAGGGCCGGGATACAGCGCAGAAAGCGCTCTCCAGGGAGGCACAGCCCAGGGGGGACTGCGAGAGGGGACGGGGCAACGACCACACCTCCAGCTTGGTTAGACCTTGGTCTTGCTGCAATGTGCTGCTTACCAGCCCACACTGGAGCTAAACCCACGCTCAAACCTGTTACAGCTCCGGCTGTGCCCTTCAGCCCGAGCTTCAAAACACGTTAAGGCCGCATGGGAGGCTCGCCTGTGTTAAGAGCTTGAAGCTGAAGACATCCCATAAAGGTATTTCACGGATCTGCCTTAAGAGGCTATAGGACGTCTAGCAGTATTCCCAGACTGATGTCCTGCCCAAACTTTGAGTTTTTGTCACACCTGAGAAACTACCAGGCAGATTTCTGTCCTTGAAAAAGGACTCCTGGAAAAAAATATGATCTTTGGCACTTCAGATTTCAGTTCTTGCCACCTTTCTCCTCAGGCCTCCTTCATACGTCTACAGAAGCAACTTCCATGTTATGGTGGCCAATAGGGCAAGGAACAAAAACAACCACTGCTCCCGTTTCCATGGGATGGCACGCTGCTCCCTGTGCAATGGGGCCTGGCCGCCTGCCCGGCTTCCGACCACCAAAAGCAAACGCTTTTCTGCTGCCCCTTCTCCACCCATGGCCCAACGACAGGCTCCACCACGGCCCCCTCCTGCTGTCCCCATGCCAGGAGCCCGTCTTCTCCCACCCTGCCATGGCCTCACACCAGCACTTACACAAGTTCTGCAGCAGCAACACACTTCTTCAAATTATCCGTGACTTAACGAACATACACTTGTGAATTCAGGCACAAAATATAACCAGGGAATTTGAAGTTGGCAAAGCAAGACAGAACCCAAAGCACATTATTTTTGAATGCATCCGGGACAGTGCACATTAATGCTCTAACACAAACTAAGCAAAAATTCAGAGACAAAGGAAAAAAGTCATTGAAAACCTGCTAGGTATGCTAAATGTATATATTTATGGAAAATTGCTTCTCAAAAAGCTGTGATAACACACTACATATATTTACTAAAAGTTATAGAAATTTTATCAGAGCAATCTGTGTTAGTCTGGTATATTAATGCATGTAATAATTGTGAATTCTGGGCACAGCCACCAGAGTTTCGGTCTCTAGAGTGATCAGCATCTGTTGAAATAATACTTTTTTGCACACAAACTCAAAGCAGCAAAACATTAAAACAAAGACATTAATTAATACCTGCAGAAAAAATGCTGGAAGAGCAAATTCAAGACTATAGCAACACGCAAATTTCTTTGCAATTTCACATTTCAAACGAACATATCAGAAATTCCAACCATTTCAAACAAGTTTGGAGCCCACCACCTGATGAGATGAGATCAAAGCCTCCCTTCTTATGTTAACACAGTTCATGAAGAAAAGGAAAGAGACTTTGGGAAATATTTACATGACTAATATATATATATTTGGATCAAGCATTAATACATAATGTCTTCTGATCTTCAGTGACATGATCTTTCATGCAAAAAAAAAAAATCAAGTCATCTGCAAACATGTCATGCCTTCGAAAACATAAATATTAATGCAACATTCACTGCATTTCAGAACTCATTGTTTTGATAGGAATGGGAGGAATGAGTGAGCCAGAAATGAATTAAAGCCAATTATAGTAACTAATTGCCATAATGTTGTGGGAAAATGCAGACCATAGCCCTTGCTTGAGGTTGGAATACATACAGAAGCAACTTTCACTGGCATTTTATAGCTGCAGCAGTCTAGAAGAAACCATGAGGAACAGAAACTATTCTTCTTGGTAATGAAAGGCTGACATTTGAGTTTGAGCAATTCCCAGAAGTTTTGTCTGTAGTCTCTTCCCCCCCCCCCCCCAAATCAAGTATGCTTTAAAATTGCAAGATCTTTTTCATCATAAAGCACTAGCATAAATATAATAAAGGAAGGTTATCCTTACAGAATCCTGACTCCTTTGCTTTTCATTAATAGACATCTAGGCAGGTAATGCTGCATTGCTTTGAGAATGAAAGATTAGTCTGGCTTTTCAAAAGCAGCACACCTGTATATGTATTACCGATCCAAATGGCCCTAGTGGCAACACACCAGTTCAGAACCCATTTGAACCAGTATAAAGAGGAGGAAAGACAGAGCAACCCCTGAGCCTGCCAGTCACAGCAAACGTCACCTCTGCACTTCTAGTGCTATAATAGCATCTATAACTGCAAGCAGCTTTCAAGTCTTGGGGAAGCATTAACTATGTAAAGAGCCACTGGTATCATCTGCTCCGAAACCGTGATTTTTGGAAGACACCCGGTTCAACGGCAGCTCGAGACCAGAGTAGCGGCCCATTAGCCTTTCAAACAAGCACCCCTGCTAATTCCAGCTATACAGAGGGACAAAGCATTACTGCTTTGGGGTGCACCTGTAACCACGTGTGCTTGCTGGAGATTGAGAGCACTGGAGCTTTTGGAGAGAGCTCAACACAAGAGCACTGGAGGATCCAAGCCTCCTACTCACAAGGAGGTCTGCTCATGTGGCCAGAGAAAGACTGGAGTCCCAAATTAGGCTTGTTAAATTTGCTCGGAACTTAACCCACTAGTCTCTTCCTCTAGCAGCATTACTGGGAGCAAAAAAAGGAATATTTCATTTTACCATGTAATGATTTTGACTGAGAACGAGGGAACTAACAAATTTGCTCCCCTCACGTTGCTCATTTTGTATGAAAAAGAAAGAAAACAGACACTGTGTCCTGTCTCGTCCGCTAGCACTCCAGGGCACAGACTGTTTACTACCAGGTATATCCCTCTAGTGATAGGATTTGCTAGTAATTTGGCTTTTTGGGCCTTCTGCGCCACCACGAGCAACACAATTCTTACAAATCTAGACTCCAACATTACCCAAATTCCAAGCTATTGTACTGATATTTTAGCAGGAATAATTGAAACTTTATGAGAACAGCAGGAACATCTGATGCCTCTCAAAGCTTCAGTGCCAAACAAATCATCACCTTCTGCAGACACAAAAACATCTTCTGATGTTTCCATGCCACCGCCTCTGTCTAAAATGATCAAGTAAAGATGGCAGAAATGAGCCTACTCCAAAACTGTAAATTATGCAGAGAGTAAATTTGGTTTTACCCAAATTGCTTTGTCCATTGCAATTAAGGAATTGCCAAGTACCGTCTTAAATGGTATTCATCCCCCTATGTTTTCATTATGCAATTCATCTCTCCCTCAGACAGAAAACTTTCTACTGTGCACGGTGGCTTTTTCTTTGGCAGGGAAGATGGAATAGTTCGTTGGGAATAACATTTGTTGTTCTTTAGCAAATGTTGTCTTTAGCAACACGTTCAAAAATTCATTTCTGTCATTCAATCAACCCTAGTGAGGCTCAGTTTGAATTAACCTAAAAAAAATTACACAATCTTTCCATTAAATTATCGGGGCTATTCTTTCTGGGATTTGCTTTTTTTTTCTTGAAATACAAAAGGAAGAAATTATAGCTTAAGAATTGCAGAGCAAGCAAAAGAAAGAAGATGAGGGGGAAGAAGACTTAGGAAAGGTCTTTTGGAGAACCTGCTGTTTAAAAAGAACCACAACACCAGCTTTAAAAACAAGAATGAAAATTATAAAAAAGCCATGACAGAGCAAAGGAAGACTACATAAATAAATAAAACAAGGCTACTGTTAACAGATAACAGGTCACCATTAGCTGCAGCTTGCACAGATCCAGAAGACACAGGGAGCTTGCAACAGCACTCCAGAGCCAGCAGCAAAGGTAATGCTTTACCAGTTACTGCCGGCTTTTCCTGTACATGGTGTAAGATCCCAAACACATGTAACTTAACATGACCTTTACGACATTTGTTAGTATTTAAAACAGAAACATAGAAAAAGGTAACAGAAGTCAAAGAGAAGACGACAAGTGCCATTTGTGTATGCAATACAAGCAACCCCCATGCTCACCAACACCAACTTATCATTCCCAGGGAGGATAAATCCCAACACCAGGCACCTCCTGATCTGCAGCAGATGGGATAACTTGTCAAGGACCCCGACGTATACCCCTTTCGAAAGGGACACACATGTGATCATACCACCGCAGTGAAACTCTGGCCTTTGGATCAGGCCACAACAAAGACACCAGGAGAAGAATTTGCAAAATGAGTGTGAAGTCACTATTAAGTCTCTGTCCTCAGGAAATATGTTTGAAAGTAAAAGATGAAACAAGGAGACTTATAAAGAACTACATTTATTTTTGTTTACAGCAGATATCATAAATAAAGCTAAAACAATTTTCACTGTGTGCAAAATACAAAATTTCCATGTGAAAATTTAAATACAGCGTTAAAAACTACTTAATAAAAATATTCAGTTAAGATTATAAAGTAAAATGAAGACAGAAGATTTAGAAGGACAGAATCCTCACTGGCCAGGAAGAGCTAGGAAGACTCTGCAACAGAGGGTACAAAACACAGCAATGGAAAGTGGTTTGAAATGGCAGACCTTTACGTCACGACCTTCATCTGAAAGCATGCTGAGCTTTGTAACAAAACACCATAGCCCTGAAATACATAGGAAGTCATGTCCTAACCATTTGTGAAGGAAGTGATGCTTAAAATACAGACAGGTTTCTGTGTGGGCACGGTGTGGGGACTTTCAAAGCCATCAAGACATTTTAGGATACCCACACAAATAAATATTATTGCTTTAGTCATGCAAACATGCAGGTCAGCAAGATAAGGTGTGGGGCTCTAACCCTGCAGCCCTTCAGCATTCCTAGCCGAGGCGTGTGAAACGGGGCAAGCGGCAGAGGATGTTTGGCCCCTCCCGAAAACTGCTCCTCAGATCAATTCCCAAAGGCCCTTCCCTTTGAAAGGGATCCTCAGCGGGGACGGCTGGGTCATGACCGTATCGACCAAAACCTTAGCATACTTGCTTGTCAGATTGAGCCCTTGGGTCTTGTTTGGATTCATTTCCCTTTCCAGATTATCAACATGTGATTAAACATACTGGAACTTATATAAAAAAATGCATACACAATAACCACACAAATTTGTCATGAAGAATAGTGGCAATGTCTCATGCAGCAAGACAAATCCATCCATCACAGTGGCAAATGGGGCCTAGTTAATCAGTTAACAAAACAGTTCAAACCAAAACACTCTGGTTATATAAACTTGGCATTTTGATATTACAGACTAAAAATAGCACGCACATCTATTGCTGTTAGGCCTGCCTACTATGTTACTTGGGTTGGAAGACTGGAAATCGCGTCGCTTTGGCTACTTTTTCCAACAGAATCCTTTCATATCATACTTCCCCGGTGTGAAAGCCAAAGAAGTGCTTGGAAAGCACCACAGTGCTCAAACGTCGCTTGCTCTTTGCATGTTTGAGCTCAATGGAAGTTTTCTCATTGTGTATTTGAGCTCAGTGGAAACAGGCGTTCATGCTAACCAGGAGAATCAGCTGGCTGATCTTCTCCTGACCTTACTTCAAGTCTTTCCATCAATACTTTGAAAGAAATAAGGCTTTAACTAGTTCTTTCAAGAAACAATGTACTTGCCTAACTTTTCTTAAAGGCACAAGGAAATGTACATGCACAGACAGAGAGAAAGACATTCTCTACAGAGAGCGCAGACGTTATCTTCTCTAGAACCATGAACTCAGCAACAGGTTAAATGATCATGCCAAAGCTCGCATCCACTAATATACCAGACATACACAGTTTGCTCCAAAAGTCTTAAAAAAATGCGCAACGAAATGCTGTCAAACAACAGTGTTAGTCACACTTTTGGAACTGGCAAGCAGAAAAAAAAAATCACCTGAGAGCAGAAAGGCTTCAGCCAGTGAGCGGGTGCAGCACCGGAATGATGAACTGGACTAAAAGCAACGAGGGAGATTGACAGAGAAGACAGCAGGAAAAAAAACACAGAACTTAACTTGGTTATATAGGAAAGCATCAGAAAGATTATGTAGGCACAAAGAAGAACTGGCCAAAATGAAACCGCCTTTTTTCATTAAATCATGAATGAGGACAAATAGGTATGAATCTTACTAGCAGAATATTAAGATGAAGAGACTAAAAAACAAATCTACCAATGAGATTGATACCAATAAAAAACCTTCCCAACATGATCACCTGCAAGCTCCCAGTGGAACATGCAGTGTAATTAAGATTCCTCAGGAAAATGTTTTCATTATGCAAGTTCCTGAATTCTGTTGTGGGAATGTAGGGATTTTATTCCCCATTATATAAACATATATAAAGCCAATACCACCATTTAAATTTTTTTATTTTTAAGCTTTCTACTGGCAAGATTCATTTGCTTTAAATTCATTGGTCAGAGATTTCAAATTTTCTTACTATAGCACTATTTTCTGTAAGTTTACCATTATGCTCACTCTGCTGAAAAGCAAAAAATTTCCCATAATAAACAGCAGGAGAAAGTTTCAGGAAAAAAAAAATGTTCCTACAGACTGTGCTGGTGACAAACTGAAATAAAAATTGACGGCAAGCCAAATGTTAAAACTTCACCACTTCGCAGTTTGCTATGTTGCAGGAGTAACATGGTAAATCGCACTGCAGATTTTTTCTTTTTTAGGGTGAAACAATTACTATCATCAGCAAATAATTAAAAAGTATACAGTGTTCCAAAGTAGTTTTTTTTAAATGCTGTAAAAGAGGTACAGATACATATATACAGATGCCCACCATGTTACTATAATTGTCGCTGCGTCCAGTCAATATTCTAGCAAAGTTTTGCTGAATACGTTTAAGCATTAATAGCAATTTATTTCAAGCAAATGCTACCTTATACCAAAACAAGTTTCTTCAAGCACTTTTTCAAGTTCTGTGCATATACTTAACAAATTTTCCCAAAACACAGAAGCACTCTAAAACGTGAAAAGCTTTATCCTCGTAGTTTAAAGAAAGTCAAACTATCTAGAAGAAAAATCCAGTTTGTCATTTATTTTAAACAGAAGACAACTTTCCTTTTCATAGCTAAGAAACAAAACAATTCAAATCACCTTTTCCCACGTTATGTTAGAAAAAATGAACCAAAAAACTGCTAGTCCCTAAGCAGCGCAGTCATTTAAGATCATTGGAAGGTGATCCTCAACTTTGGTACTAACCAAATGCGACATTATTTCCCACTATTTTAGCCACATTCTTTTGGCTAGAAATAAATGCTACAGATGCTTTTAATTTTAGGCTATATATATGACCATGTTTATGTATTTACCCATTTCCTGGTTCTGAATTTAAAGATTTAGTATTTGAGAGGCAGAGAACATGCTTACCTCACTGGCTGACTAGGCCAGTGAGGTAAGATTTACTTTCAGTAGATCAGAATTTGGGATGTTGGTGTCTCCTTGCCATTAAATAGCTTATTTAACCTGTCCCAACACCTTCTGATTAAGGTAGACCTTGTTGAGACATTTGAAAGAAATTTACCTAATGGCTGCTCCAGATTATAGAATTTCATCCTTCTGCCATCAGCTTTATACAGTGAAATTAATGAAATACCCAACTAAGAAGTAATCCCCTTAGAGTACGTTTGTAGCTTTGTTGTTTGTTCTAAACTTGTATTTTTAAAAAATTTGGAAAGACAATAGAATAGGAGCAGTGCCTACCTTGAGGCACTGGGCAGTGATTACAGTTACAGGTGAGTGCTCCATAAATTGATATTCCTCAAATTAGCCACCTAATGAGGAAGCCTTGACTTGAGGAGTAAGTCAGGTCTAATTACACTACCAGTTCCTTTGACTTACAGTTTCAACCAAGCCTTCACTCAATTAAGATTTGCTCTTCAAATTTATTTCAAAACTTTAAATAAATTAGTAGTACAGATTATACCCACCATCAACAAAGGGTATCTATCACATGTAAGAAACGTAAAAGGCATGACTAGGAGCAATGTGAATTAAGTACATGGTTTGTTTGTTGTTTTCTTTTAACCATATTCATGCAAGTTATAAACCTCATAACCCAGAGCAAAGACGAAAGCAAGAAGAAAAGGTATGCGCCATATTCAGGTTTCAAAACCCAGTCGTTTGTCATAAATATTCCTTAAACATCTGAAAGAATGCAAATTCTTTCTTGGTCTAACAAAGAAAAAAAAAGGCGTGTGTGTGGGACAACAGGAAGAAGAATGGTTTTAAAACCATTACATTTTACCACCCCCTCAGTGGTCTGATCACAGGATAAAATGGGGAGTGAGGAAGAATCTACAAAATATCCTTCATCCGTCTCCGCATTCTGGAAATGTGTCTGGACACTGCCCTTCATGCTGTACCATACAGTACACTTAATATTGAAAATTTTGATTGCACCTCATTTAAACCAGAAGGAATCCACCGTTCACTTAAGTCACACATTAAATTGCATGAGAAGTAAAAACAAACAAAAAAGCCTCAAGAAAATAGCAAGGCTGTTAATTTTGAAAATCTGAAAGGCACAACTGAGCAAGACACGTAGAAGAATTTAAACCCTATAGAATTTTTTCACCCACTCAAGCACATTTTCAAGTGATAGCTCTGCTTCCCGGTACATATGAGTAAGTACCTCTAGAAGAGCACAGAGGAATGGCACACCAAGGCTCAAGAGTTCGTACAAGTAGGTATAGTTATATGCATTGTCCCTGAAATGAAGATTGGTAGCGTGCAGAAAACCATGCATCCAGTTAGACAGGCGTCTGGGAATGTCAAGCAGATCCCTTGTCACCCGAAGGGGCCAGCTTAGCGTGCCCCTAAAGAAGGAAGTCAGGATACCTGGGGACCTGTCCTCTGGACTGCTAGCAGTAGACAAAGTGCTTTCTGTGGTGGTCTCTGGGGGCTTGGGTTCCTCTTTCTTCCATGCTTCTGTTGCCTCCTTATATAAAGCATTAAAGAAATGTTAAATATACTTCTACACATGAAAGTCCTGTTTCTGTTACTGTTTTTCAAGTTTTTATACATACACACTGGCACTTCCAATTGCTCTTAGGTTCAACTTTACTTGGTATAGGAAAAGCTAATTTCCATTGAGAACGAGACTATAAATATGCCAAACTCACAGAACAATGATTTTACTACTTCCGGCCATCAGGTAGAAAATACCTTACACACACATACAAGTACTGCACCCTACTCCAGATAAAGCTGCCTCAACATTTCCCACATTAATAATATAACCAATACGTACCTTTCCCTGGACCTGTAATGTTGCTCTTCTCTTTCTGTGTTTAGTACTGATTTTGCAGTGCGTAAAGTGAGGTTTACAGTAAAATTTACCTACAAGAGAAAAAAGTAAGTTCTATCATATTTCAGCTATGTGTCTATGGACTGAAACCAAACTGTTGCATCTATAAAAAAATAAAATCAGGATAATTAATGGTTGGACAGCAAGACGGACAGGAAACTTGCCACTGACTCTGAATAGCTTACAGCTCTGAACGGGTTTCTTTTACAGTACACAGATTTGCACGTTTGTTAAATAAGGCAAGGTCATTTACCTACCACACACGTTTAAGATTAATAAATAGCAAAAAAACAAGATTCTATAAATACCAAGTCACAAGCCAACACAAGACATCAAGCAGCAAAAAGTAAAATAATCAGTTCAAAAAAAGTCTTTGCAGAAGATTCTCTGGACTACAAAAGAACCACCTTTGGCCCTGAGCCTCTAATCATTTCACAGAAGGTTAATACTCCAATCTACTCAAATCATTTGTAAGTAGCAAGGGATTTCAATTCAGTTTAATAATTTCCCTCTAAACTAAAAAAAAGAAGGGGAGGGCCAAAAAAATAATTCCTCATCTCCAAACCCCAGGCTGTAGGTGGGACTGAGCGCCCAAGATGCTGTTTGGCCGCTACTACTGCGTTCAACTCCTGAGCCATAACATCTTGAAAGAAATAACCTAGATTGCCCCCACCCATGTAAATCTGCCACTATCATGGCTTATCCTTACAGATCGCATTATTTAATGGCCAGTTATAAGTGAGAGATGAGAATAATTCTGTACTGTTGGAGAAAAATTGCCTCTCCCCACCCCCAGCTTTGACTTATGATTGGACAAACTGCGTTTTGGTCACTCAACTTATTTTCCACTGAGGATTTCTTCATTTAAAGCTCAGGTCTGTCATAACTGGATTATTTTGAAAGACTAGAACTGCAAGTACAAGGACTCAAAGATCAGCATGGACACAAACAACATACTTGGCAGACCTCCTCCTGACCGAGCTACTCGGCCAGGTCTTTTTCCCTAGTCCCATTAAAAGCATCAATACTCAGACATTTTAAAATATTCTGAACTCACTCTTATTACCTTCTTCAACATCAAAGGCATAAATTCCTAAACGGAGTGTCGTAGAACATATTTCACACTTGAAGCACTCCCTATGAAAGAAGTGGCCTTCTGCACTCAGCCGCTCCATAACATATACCCGTTTTTTGCAGAAATAACAAATGTCACTCCCCCCGACAGACTGAGGAAATTCTTTTCGCAGAGATCCCTGTCAAAAGATAAAAATAGAAATGCACATAAAGCCGTTGCACTACATCCAGATATAAATTCTTATTAAGTGGGCAGCTGCTTCAGCTGCTTGAAGTTCTACACAGCACCCTCAACACACAATTAAAATAAGCAGTCAGCTTTTTTATTATTCATTTGCTGCAATTCTGTAGGTTTATGCAGCAATTCATAAATCAGACATTACAAGGACTTTCGGGGTGAGTTTTCAGTTGGACTTGCATCCAGCTTCCCTCTGGGGGTTCACAGAGATCTTGTGTTTGCTCAGGTACAGAAGCAGCATCAGTCCCAAATGCTCATTCATCACCCTGCACCGCGCTGGCTCAGGCGCTCGCGCCTCACGGCTGTGGGCATCGGTGTTTCTCAGGCGGGGGCAAAGGCAGACCCCGCCAGCCTCGAACACCAGAGACGCATGTGAAGCTAAGAAAACAGACACCCTGAAGACTCAGTTCATATGCTCTCTGGAGAAAAATGCAGGCTCTTGCTTCAAGGTCCAGGAAGAAAAACTAAGTCTTCGATGCTGGTGTCCCAACTACCACTTACACTGCCGTAGACGCGCTTTCCCTCTCAGCCACGTTCACCCTGAGACTATAGCCCAAGATGGGCATGGTTTGTTTTAAAAACCAATTTAATTCCCATCACAGACATCCAGAATATTTTTAACTCATGGGACTTTAAAATATGACCCATATTAAGAACTTGAAACTATTTTGAAAGTTTTTGTTGAATTTGGCCTGGCAATTACCATTCTTTAATTGCCACAATCTCATCCTCCCTGGATATACATACAAAAGGTACAGAAAATAAATAAATTATAAACGGATTAAATGCCACTGGGCTTCCCTTTTCTTATTAGAGGCAGGTATGAGGACGTTACTTTGCATTCTTGTATTATGCTTGGTTATAGGTCGGTACAGGTGAGCATCCTGTTTCCACCACAGCCATCACCATCTCCCTCTCCTTCCACCACCCCTACTGCCACGGAGGAGGTACCACACATGGGTCAGAAAAGATGCAGGCTTGGCAGAGTCCAGGCACATTCAGAGGGCAGCACACAGTCCACACAACTCATCTTCAATTTGCCAGCAAAGGGCAGCCTTGGAACAACTTTTAATGCTAAGTGCAAGTCACAATTGTCATTGTCACATTGTCTTGTGCTTAGAAGTTGAGAATTCTACTCCAAACCTGCCATTAATAATCCATTTTGCTGTGATGGATCATTTCAGAGCATGAAACTTTCCAAACGAACAACCGTGCAAAGGGAAAAGTATACAAATGCAGTTTTTAAAAATATGATGTTAATAGAACAAATAGTTACAACGAAGCAGAAGCAACTGAAGTTTAGTGCTGGCTAGTAAGTAAGTGTGATCACCACAACACACCACCTTACTTTGCTTCTCAATACCTGACAGCTCTGAGCCGTGGAAGCAGGAGATGGAGAATGAGGAATGGGGCAAGAACCTGTAGCTCTGTCCAGAGACCGCTTCTGAATTCAACACAGAACAGTGTCAGAGTTTAAAAACAGCTCTCTTCAAAATCACTGAGGCACAGTGATTCAGCATTTAAGTGTTAAAAATAACTGCATAAACATGTACTGTACAAAACTTTCTATAGAAGCCACCCTGATTAATAAATGTCTTCTGTTACTAATTGTACCTGTAATTACATTTAATAAAAGCCTCCTGAAGTTTTAATTCATACAGAGAAGTAATAAAAATATACATAGGAGACACTGTGAGCAACATTTCCAGCATATTGACACATCAGCATATTTTGCCAATATGCACCTGATTCCTTAAGAAGTGTTAGACTAAGACCTTTCATAATGCTTAAAGTGCTCCACCAGAGTCTTAAAGTCATGACGATGTTCTGGAAACACCACTCTTAAGTCAAGTTATTGTTTCTTCGTGGGTTTAATCTTACCAGTTCAAGGAGGGGAAGCTGTGGCTTGGGTCTGTGATCATTCACATACAGATTGACAAGAACTTCAGCCACAGCTCCAATTGCACGTGAGACCTTCCCTACAGTCATCTAACCAGAAAAGGGGAGAAGATGAAGAATAGAAGGAAGAGCTTCAGTTATTTTTGAAAATGAATTTAACGAGAAAAGGACAAGAATGATTTGAAAACATGCAAACAGTGATAAAGAGAGGCTAGGAGAAGGAGCAGATGCAAAGTCCAGCAGAACATGAGCATGTTCATGTGTGATCAGCATGGTCCAGCTGGTGGCCCCAGAAGGCTTCCATGCAGCCCACACATTTCTTGCCGCGGACGACGGAGAAATAGCTGCTAAGATCAAATGGTGCTCCCACAGCACAAGGCCTCCTGCCATGTCCACAAAACGGCTGAGCTGGGAGCTACTGCCTGGCTACCAGGGTTGGACCATTCTGATAGATTAAAAAAACCTCTATTGTTCACTTTGACTTCTTCGGACTTTGTCGTATTTCAGAACAGGTGGTAGGGACTAAACTTCACACTAATGGACCACAAACTGTGGCATTTCAGGAAACATTCTATGAAAACATACTAGAAGTCCTACATGGAAATGTTTTGTTGATGCTCACAGAGCAACCACCCTCCCTCTCCCCAGTGACTCATCTTAACGCCAGGGAAAACCGGAGAAACTACGCTCATGAAAGGAAGACATCTCCTTTAATCTGCTTCATCACGCTATTGCAGCCATGAATATTAGGCTGTTTCTAACCAAATTTATCAGACAGGCCTACAAGGACACTGCAGTTCCTTAGGCTGTGGCTCCAAACACACCACAGCCAGACCACTGACTGCATGGTCCAGGCTTCCTTGCCAAAACACATGCCTGAGGACTGGAAAAGAAGAAAGGTGTGTGTGCATGTGTGGGAGTGGGAGGCTGGTAGGCAGGTACTCTAGTTCTTTGGTCCTGGAAAAAAGTCTGTGAAGACATTTTCGATTACAGTAATATTGTATCCTAAAAAAAATTTCCTGCAGTGATTTTTATTTTAGTTCTACAGTCAATACATGATCCCACAACCTCTCTGGTGGCAAAGGCAGCAAGGGCCATCCTGGTATGGCCAGGGATCTGATACTCTGCTTCTGAAGCCAGGACATTTTTCCTCCTAGAGGATCCATGATCTCGTATTTTATGCTCCATTTGCCTCCCACAGAGCCCAAATTTTAAGTCCCACACTTCTCAGTGAAATGATTTTTCTGCTGCCACCACACCAAGTCTTGCTAACAGGAATGTTTTAAAAATATCAGAAAGTTACCATGAAGAAAGGAAAAAAATACAAAAGCAGTAGTATTCATGATACTTTAAAACAACTTTAAAGCCTTTTCTATCAAGCTTAAAAGAAACTATAATGCATTGTGAGTGGGTTTTCAAAAATTATGATGGATTAAAATATTCTTGCTAATAAAAAAAATTTGAGTTCAGGAACTTGGGAAGATGCCCAGCCCCTTACAGCTCCCCTTATCTTTTGAGAGTTATCCCATAATTAACTTAACGTACATATTTTGTATCTGCCTGAAGTTAAGGCAACAAAAGGCCATTCAAGAGACAAATTTCTGCACTGCTTGGTTTTGTTTAATATAAAGAAACTTTTAAATATTATTTAATATCTGCACAACTTGTGGGGTAAAAACAGCAAAGTAAACTGTTAATTACATACTGTAATGCTGTCCCAAGTGCTACATTAAATTATAAACCAATACTAGAAGTGAAATTTTACTTGCTACTGCAAGAAAACTACATTTCTTCGTATTGTTTAAGATCACAGAAGACAAAATTTTCCACCTCAAGTTCTGTACCTCTCAATATGCTGAGCAACTTTTAGGCCACATGCAACTTACTACCCATGAGCTCCTAGGTAAAAGAAAGCATTCAAAGTCAGTTCAAGCAGAAAGTTTACCTTGAATTAGTCAAATGCTGGAGCAATCAGTTAAGCAGTAAAGCTATGCTTAAAGTGCAAGTAGTTGAACTTCAGGAAAAGTATCCTTGACCCTGAACTACACCTTAGAATTCATCAGGTGGGTTGATTTCTGTTCTCCACCCATTGAAGCAATCTGCGTCAACATTAAAGCAGTCAAAACAAGAAAACTGCATGTTTATATATACTTTAAAAAAAAGTGTTATTGAACAGAAGTGTTCTTGTAATGAATGCGAATTCACATTCCGTGTAAAAGCAAATAGAATTTCAATTTAATCTAGCAACCGCAAGGTTGCTGACTGTTCTTGTCTCCTAATCAACAACCACCCACACGTTGCTGCTACTCACCAGTGGGGAGGGCAGGAAGCAACTGGACTTGAGGACTGATTAGATCTCATTTTAGAGAAGTTGTTTAATAAGGACATATTCCTGGGGGAAGAGCTCTACCAGCTCTCCTTACTGAATCGGGTATGTGGGTAGTCAAGAGGAGATCAGTTTGCTACAGCCTCAGTACTGCACCTTTCAGATGCCTTGCAGAGGGATCCCAATAGATCAGGGCATTGGGCAATGACTAATAGGATGAAGTTTAACAAGTCCAAACACCGGATCCCACACCTAGGACAGAGTAACACCAGGCACAAGTATCAATTGGGAGAGGAGTGGCTGGAGAGCAGCCCTGCAGAAGGGGACCTGGGGGCGCTGGGTGACAGCAGGCTCAGTACGAGGCAGCAGTGTGCCTGGCAGCCAAGGGGGCAAACCGTCCTGGGGTGCATCAAACACAGGACAACCAGCTGGTCAAAAGAGGAGATTATCCCGCCGTATTCAGCGTTGGTGCGGCCTCACCCTGCGTCCTGTGCGCAGTTCTGGGCCCCACAATCTAAGAAGGACGTGAAGGTCCTTGAATGCGCCCAGAGGAGGGCAACAAAGCTGGTGAAAGGGCTGGAAGGAATGTCCCAGGGGGAGCAGCTAAGGACTTTGGGCTTGTCTCGTTTGGAGAAAAGGAGGCTGAGGGGTGACCTCATTGCTCCCTACAGCCTCCTGAGAAGGGGACGTGGAAAGGGAGATGCTGAGCTCTTCTCCCTGGTATCCAGTGATAGGATACATGGGACTGGTTCAAAGCTGCACCAGGGAGGTTTAGACTGGACATTAGGAAGCATTTTTTTACCAAGAAGGTGGTCAAACACTGGAACAGGCTTCCTAAGGAGAAGGTTGATGCCCCAGGCCTGTCAGTGTTTAAGAAGCATTTGGACAATGCCCTTAACATGCTTTCACTTTTGATCAGCCCTGAATTAGTAAGGCAGTTGGACTAGATAAGCATTGTAGGTCCCTTCCAACTGAAATATTCTATTCAAATGCTGTGTCTTCTCTAAACCTCACCCTGCTTATGAACAAGGACTGGGGGGACGAGAATCCAGCAGGGTAGCCCCATGAGCATCTGCCACCATCAGAAACCCACAGAAAAAGGGAGGGATAGGGTGTGCAAGAGCAGTGCTGCCCTGCAAGGCTTGTGACTTCTGCCCTTGTACGTCAACAAGCACAACCGCCGAGCAACCCCCTGTGTCTTCTCTAAACCTCACCCTGCTTATGAACAAGGACTTTAATAACATCCTCACCCATTTAATCATGTAAGCATAATAAACTCCAGGAGAGGGGGTCTGACCCCAAACCTACACACGTTCCTTTGGAGAACCTGTCAGCTCTTGGCCTAGCTTTGGTCAACAGCATACAGATCTCTGCCTGCCTGATGCTTCTCATGCACCCTAGAAACTCAGTATACCCATAACAGGTTTTCTATTTTGCTCATGCATTTACTACCCTTGAGGCTACTGGTGTACGTGAAGTCCCACACACACATGCAATTTTGTAGTGCTGGGGCCCCTATCAATATGTAACAGGCTACTGCTCACAATTCAGGCAAGTTTATACCAGTAACTTTAAATCCTTTGCTGGAAAGGCATCTTAAAGCATTACCTTACAAGGTGAATTTTAAAGAGTTACCTTATGCGGTGAATTTCAGGAAACAACCAAGAAAACACTTAAAATATCCCCAAAGTGGTTGTGATTTACTAAGACTATTGACCTGTCAATGACATGTTGCCAAAGCTTTTCAGCAGGTTGATCAGGGTGGTTATTAATGTGGGAAGAGAAAGCTGCCTCTGTATTTCCCTGTGCTATATTTATAACGCACAGCCAACCAACAAGTAAGCCTCAGTAGTATTTTCATAAAACGGAGGAAATATGCTCTCCGCCTCCAAAAGCATATAATGCTTCCCCTTTGTTGTTTCACATCCTTGATGATTTTCCTGGTCTTACTTTGCTTTGAAGGCAATTTGTTTACTTTTGGTACCACCTGATACATATATTTTACCTCTGAGATAAACAACATTTGAGTAATAAACTACTGTGTGTAGAAAACACCCAAGCCCTGCTTGCTACCAGTAATTAGAGTCACATCACTGCAGGGAAGTAGTTGGTCCAAACTCTGCAGGCAGCAAAGCCTACTGACTGCAACGTTTTTATAGTTCTTGCGTCATATCGCGTGGATTCACTCATGCAAAACTCAGATGAACAAGAGTTTTCTGAAAGTCAGTCCAATTTTAAACAGAACACAGGCATAACCAAAGCCCAGCCTGTAATATAGTATTTGTTACTTCATAATTCTACCTATGTGAATTTTGACAGCTGATTAAAGCTAGAAGGTAGTTTTGATCATTACTGGCAACTTGCATATAGTGTCATACAGAAGTTAATTCTTAATAAGTTGTTTCTTTTAAAGACGTACAGTCATTACAATATGCTTCCATAGCCTTCCTTTCAAGTGCTCCTTTCAGCATTGAGGTTTAATAACAGGTTTCTGTAATGAGACTGTATGATTTCTTAGCCACCATTTTCAATAAATATGCCACCATAACTAATACTGTTCCAATGTAAATTCAACAGATGTAAAGGATCGTCACGCCTGATAACAATCTCAGTAGTACTGTCATTTTAATTTCAAGTTAGTAACTATTTAAAGGATGGGAGAGTGTTGCTATTTATAGGTCATTTCTCATGACATCTTGCAAACTCAAAAGACTTGCATTACCTTCTGTTCTGCTGGGAAAAAGGCAGAAACATGAGAGTGACCTGAGGGAGCTCCTTCTGTTGGCTTACCAATCCTGAAGATCTTCCTCATACTGAAGTCTAGAGTTACCTAGCGATATCTCTCAGAACAGAGACCAGAAATACAAATTCTGAGTCTTATAACCCCACCCTTGAGATAACAGACACAGGCACTTACTGGTACATATTCACAGCAGACTGATCCAAACATATTGTTAAATTATCATGCACAGTACTTGAAAATGCACACTGCGCACCTGAAATATCAAATTTTATTTATATAGTGCTGCATGTTTAGCCACTGTTTTAAAGTGTATGATAAAATTCTCATGTTCTAAAAGTGTGCAATCTTAAAAGATAAAACACGGGGACAACAGTTTAACCATAGAAGGGCACAGACAGTTTGCTTGTTACGAAGTCAAGGCTGCAGCAGGTGTTCCTTGAAGATTTAATACTCTTACAGAAAAACACCAGTAAGAAATCTGCTTCTGGAAAAATTTTGCTTGAGAAATAACAAAAGGTAAGCCAAAACATGGCCTGTGTAGCTTGAAGAGGAACAGAATTTAAGTTGCCAAAGAGAGGTAAAGCTGAATCAACAGGGGTATCACAGGACTGAATTGACCTCACAGCATGGGAATAGCATGGAAAATAGAAGTCTTGCACATCCATTAACACCTCACTAGCACATCACCAATGCCACACCTATGCCTGGACATCGGTCTGAAGGCCACTGAGTCCATCCCCTGTCCCCAGGACAGGATCCACTTTACTTGTGTAAGGGGCACATTGGCATAACCTGCTCCAAAAGGTGCCCATGCTGCAGACTGCAGCTCTCATCCAGCACCCTGCTCCTTACTACTCAAGGGTCCCTTACCCCCATCCCCAAGCCTGACCTGAATCTCCATTTCCACAGTGACCATCACCCCCTGCTGTGCTGACAGTGGGCATGGAGGACAGGTACCCTCCCCTTCTCCTCCACAGCCCTGAGCAGACACCATGGCTGACTGACCCTGTCTCACCCCTCCGCTCTCTCTCTGTTACCCCTGTAACAAGGAGAGCACCAACAATGTCACTTGTACTCACTGGCAACTCTGGAAAGGAAACTCTAAGGGTTTTGCCGCCTCCCACACACCCCCCTTTTTTTTTAAATCTACTTTCACATTGAAATACCTACAGCAATCCATCATCACTTGGGGTTCATGTGGATCAGCTTTCTATTACTGCATCTGCCTCAAAGAGGAAGAAAGTAAAAGTTTGCCTGTTCATTATCAGACCTGCTATTTAAAAATTCTCAAATATGCCATGCCAAATGCACCATATTTAGACATACGTAATGCATACAGTGCACAGGAGGACCTGAGCCTGTACAACCCTATGGACCAGTATACTAGGCATCAGAATGTTCATGCATATAAGATCTGCGGAAGAACATCGGTAGTCCCACCTAACCAGCCAAATATTTACCAAATGGCATGAATGTATATTTACTGTGCTGGTGACAGAACAAGACTTTCTTGCCTCAGCTGTGCTGCGTTCTGCCATTACCTCTGGAGAGAGTATTTTTCAAAGTAAACTCAGACTGGGTGAAATGAAGTCACAAACTACCACCACACCATTTAAATACAATGGCAAACTAATAAAAGGCTGTGAATGCACTTTAAACAAAATGCAGTTGAATTAACACATCCAAAGATGACTGCTCAGACCAAATGTTCTCTAAGAAAAAATTTTAAAATCCCAGTAAAATTGTGACACACAGAGTTTCCATATGATTGAGAGCCTAATTCTCATATTCTAAAGGGTTGTTCACATACTCTGTTTTGGTTTTGTTTGTTTTTTCATTCTCTTTGCAGTGTCACAATAGCTCTGAAATCAAATGAGCAACAGGCCCTGATACTTTGGAAACCATTACTTAGCTTAAAACCCATCACATGCTATACCTCCTAGGTCATAGAAAGTAAGAGGTAAATCCAGGCAAAGGAATTATTTTGAAGCTGAAGGGAATTAGGGGATTACCACAGTAAGGCACCTGCTGGGCTTGCAGTGTCCTTGAAGGGCTGTGTAGCCTATGTTTTCCTGGGGAATGAGAGGAAGAGAGTCTTTTCAACACAGCTCTATCACAACACAGGAATGTGCCTTTGCAAGCTGCAAGTCAGCCCAGTATCTACCTGCTCAGTTACTGCTGAGGCTGTGAGCCCAATTTCCAACCAGCATTAACAATATGGTGCCAAACAACCTAAAAACGATCTAGACTAGTTCCACTAAGTGATCCTGCCTACCAGATGGGAAATTACCTTCAGCCATGGCTTAACCTGAAGTTGGGCAATATTCATGAGTATTTAATAAGACTACTGTTACTTAAATAAAACAAAAGCAGGCAGAATGCTTTGCTCCTCCTCACGGTAAGTGGAGACAGTACCCAATTTTGCCGAATAGCACTACTTTCATGTGTCAGGCAGAAGAGCCGACAGCTCCAGCAGCACCTGCACTGGGTCACAGCAGTTGCCTTCAATACTTCTAGAAACTTGATGTTTCCACCTTTATTCCCACACCAACCCTATTCAATACTGCAGTGTTCCCAGACTGCTGCTACATAATCTGTGGGCGAAGTAAAAGGAACCCAGGCCTTTACCTGCCCTGGAAACCTGAAAAATATCAAGCTTTCCGAATTAAAATCCTTCAAAACCAAGGGGAGCCAGAAGCCGATGTCATCTTAACTTCCACAGATAAAAGCACAGCCATTGTAACATCAGCACAAGTAGTAAGAGCTGAATAGCTCCGATTCGAGTGTTGTCCAGTTGCTTTCATTCAGAGTACACATGTTTCCGCTCTGTAAAGTTTGCTGTTGTGCAGAAGTATAAAGTACAAATAAACAAAGAAACCAATAAAACCTGTCTGTATCAACAAGTGCTCCTACCATTCTAAGACATGTCCTTAGTTAAAAGTTTTCCCCTGCAGTCCAGACAGATATTCTTATGAAAAGAAACACAAATGCCACCCAAAACCAACTAACCAATCCCATAACATCCAGTTAGCTATACAATATGAAGCTCTTTCTCCGCTACGCATGTCTGTGGTATATTTCAAGGCAAGGCAAATTTTTCAGAATTGAAGCAAAAATTTTGTTACCCATGTGCTTTGTTCTTCAGCTTTATACCTGAACTTCTTTGAAGGATGACTTTCCCCTTACAAACATGCAGAATTAACAACAGTGAACAAAAAGTTTGATTCAAATGTGAAATAAAGCCTACACAACAGATCTGCTGGCAGCACCTTCCATCCAAGACATTTCTCGAGCAGCTTTAATGCAAATTTTGATTTTACAGGAAAAAAATCTGTTAATAGAATACCTGTCTAGAAGGAACAGCAGGGGAAGCTGAACCGACAGATGATGCAGAAGAGGCAGCAGCTGAATCATGAGGTGGAGGGCAAGAGGGAGTTGGGGGCTGAGAATGGGATAAGCCTTTAGTAGGTAGCTTATTCTGTGTAGAGCAGAAACAGGAGAGTTATCCAAGAGACAGTGACATTAGCATAGGTTAAGAGAATATTTTCACAGTCATGCACAAAAAAAAAAGATATAACTACAGCTCTGCTCTTTTCTCTATTTCTGCACAGTGAGGAGCCATGGAAATCTTCACGGCAAAACCTTCACAGCAAGTGATATTATTGTACTCAGTTTTCTTATAAAAAAATATTTACAGTGGGCAGTAAGGTAAGATATTGCTGGGAGAAAGCATAATGACACATAAGAAACGCCAGATCACACTGACTAAGAGCTACTGCTCACTAATTCACTAGAAACTGTGAGCTACCAGTGCATACTTAAGCACTAGACATGATTTATTCTAACACATTTCTCTTGTGCTGGAGTACTTTGACTAGCTCTATGATTTTGACTGTGTTTTACCTCAATTAAAATATGCAATAAGATTTAAACTTTTTACCAGTTTCAGTGGAATCTACATTACTTTTCAGATCCACCCAGCATGAAAGGAAAATTAAAAACAAAATCACTGCAATTTCCCCTCCCCCATGAATCTGCACTTCTTCAGGTGCAAAACCTAATAATCACCTTTGGAAACTCCATGTATCCAAACATTGAGGCGAGATGTGCTGCTTTCTCTTTAATGTTCTTTTTATGGAATTCCCTATTTGCTATGGTCTGAGCTCTTTTCTGCAATAAGAGCCAGGGAAGGAAAGCCAAGAAAAGAAAGAGAGAAAGACTTCAATTAATGTCACATACATCGTTAGAGTACAGCAAGTTTGCAGAAACACTATTTATTGTCTTACTATAACCTAAAGCCAACAGAGAAAAAGCCAGCATATCCAGGGAAGATACAGATACAGTATACAGATTAACATATGCAGTTAAGAGACAAAGGAAAAGAAATTGCTTGTCACCTGTTTCATTTTTTCTTCCAGGTGCTGAAGACGCTCAAGCACTCCAGAAAGTACAAATGCAGCAGAACAGGCAGATGCGAGATTTTCAGAGGTTTCTGACAGACTGGGCTGGGTATCTGGTTTTTGGACAGTCCTTGCTCTCCTGGCCATATGATCAGAAGCATTTAAAGACTGTTTGGGTTCCCTGACCTCGTGTTCATTGCTAGCTACCACCTGAAACTGGGAAACACTTGAAGTGAAAAAAACCCGCTTTCTGCACTACCATGCAGCATGTGCAGCTTTTAAGGATGCTTCCGAAAGCGCAGCACAATCATGCACGTAACTAGAAATAAAGTGTTCTCACATCACTCTTTGCACACTATCTACTGCATCTCTGATGCTTGCATCCATGCACTGAAATAAACCAGTCCTATGTAACTTATGCAGATCTTGACAACTTCTCTAGGTTTGTGTCAGTTTTTATGAATAACCCCAGACAGCATCAGTGCAGAAGAACATGACACTACATCTCCTTCTAGGGTTTTTAGCAAAGGTTTGGGGTTTTGTTTGTTTAGCATCACAGCTGCCTGAAACTAAGCTTACAATCAGATTGTAAGAATATCAACAGTAGTTCTTGGCATAATTCTAGATCTAGTCTGACCCAAGTCAAGCTATAATGTATTTCAGATTTAAAGCATCCTCTGAGGAGTTCACAATGGGCCTCTGAATTTGAATCTTCATAGAAAATAGCTTTTGAAGTAAATGAAACGTTGAACCAATTCAGCTTTGTCAAAGTCAATCTTAAAAATGACCTTCCAGTTGGTCTTTTCATGACAGCTTTCTACTTCATCCTATCTGTCCAATTCAAGTACATAAACATTCCAAATTTCTCAGAATTAAAATTAAAAAAACTAATGCCAATCAACTTGCAGTGTGCTCCTGATGTTTCGGGACAGCACACCTGCCTTTAAAACAACATTTCTCAACCAGTTTATGAATCTGCATTTTCATCAAGCTGATCTGCAGATTTCCACATGCAATGAAGATCTCATTTCACTGCATACTACTTTGAAATACCACTACAGGATATTCACTTCCATTTAAAACTCTAACATAAAGTGAATGTCAATACTATTTGATATGAGATTGCTTTCATTGGAAATATTAAGAGAAAAATTTAGACAATGTGTTCAAGAGGTTTTCCTCGTGTATATGATGCTGCAAAAGAGCTTTCAGCAGAAATTCTTATCACAAGTTCTACTTAAAGAAATAAAGAAAGCCCAGGTATCAATATCAGCTTTTCAGTGCTCAAGTTTTCATCTTGGACATTTTTGCCAGGTTTCTCAGGGTGGAAAACTCCCTTTGCCTTATCATTGCAACAGCCCAAAGCATCGAGTACGTGCACAGACCAATTTTCAGGTACTGCTGTAGTTCTCACATGTTAAACGTAGCTATGTAATTATATTTATATAATTTGGAGTCTAGATGTGATACACACAAATCAATACCTATGTTTTTAGGGTTTTTTTCCATACAGTTACTAATTCTTTCAAATAGTTTTCTTATGTGGTCAAGCAGTTGTAAAATAGCCTTAAAACTTTAATGTGGTTTTCACAATTCAAATATTGTTCTATATATTCTGTAGTTACAGAATAACATTGAGTTCACAGCAGTAAGAAATGGTGTTCTTGTCAGATGTTACTCATATGAGTTCCTACCTGCCTTTTTGGTTGAGGTAGAAGACGACTTGGATCCTTAGGTTTAGCAAAGCGAGGATTAACAGGAGGGTCAGAAGAGAGCAGGGCTGGTCTATCTATTAGCTCCTTGTAAAGCATTTTTAAAATTATAAAGACAGAGTAGAAAAAAAAATGGAAGACAGTAAATAGGATTCAAAGATCTTTTGAAGCAGAAAGAAATAAAAGCTGCTTTTAAAGACAGATTACTATGGAGCTTAACAACACATTTTGCAGATTCTTGTCACCTTACCATTTTATTAACCCCTTCTACCATCAAAGATATATTTAAAATTCAGCACATTCTGTATTCATTAAGAGAGGTTGTGATCAAAAGGTAATGCATCGAGGCTTCCTTCAACACGGCCAAGCAAACCTCTGCACATGTATCGCACACAGAAAGCTCAGGGCACTGACAAGTAGCCAAGTAGCATACAAGCAACAGTGGTTCATGGAAGTCACTTGACATCTATAAAGCCTACAGTTCTGGAGGACTTAAATATGTAAATAAACAAATACAAGCACAAAGAACTATGAAAACCACCACCCTTGACAGAACCTCGACACCTGCCTCATTCTTCCTTCAGATCTTTTAGGTGAGAGATCCAAACTCAGCTGACTCAAATCATCTCACTGGCTAAAGTATGATTTTGAGCTTATCATCCCTACCTTGACAGTACAGGATTATTTTTAAAACACTAGTCACACTAACAACAAACCTCCAAAGTGCTGTGGAATGTACAATTATATTCCCTTATGCCGACTTTAGGAATGGAAAAGGCAGCCGCAAAAGGCATCTCGCAAAAGATTAGGTTCCCTTCTTACGCTTTCTAAATTTTCCACAAAGAAAGATTCCATTGGATATGTAGTGTCCTTTATTCAGAAAATATAGGGAAAAAATGTCTTTCTGCAATACTGTATGCAGCCAGCTTAGACTCCCATACAAAGCAACAATTCTACAGACTGGTTTACAAGAGATTTCTAGACATTGCAATTCCACTACACTTTAATATATTAATACATTATATTAATATACATCAATCAATCCATACTAGTTATATTTGTTTGCTAAGTATTGAGAGGAACATCTTTAATCTGCATAAAGTATAAAAAAGACAACCCACTTCAAACACATAACAGATTCATCTTTTCCCTTACAAGTCTGCATCATGTTCACAAGGAGGGACTACAGTTTAATTTTAGAGATTATTTTTATGTTCATCTAGGACCTACCTGCCTCCGAAAAATTGTATTTGGAGCATTCTCTTCAAATTTTGCCAACAGTTGGGTTGCCATTGATTTAACTTTATTCTGGTTCACTCCTTCTCTGCCATCGCTCTGTTCTTTCCCAGCATTTGTCCCTTGGCCTGAAAAGCCTGAAGCCTGCAAGAAAAAACAAACAAACTATGTTTTTTTCTAGTTTACCTACAACACTTATGAAGAGAGAGCAAGAGAAGTAACATCCTTATCAGCAAAGGGTGAAAGGAAATACAGTCTATGGTATATTAAAAATTACACTGTTTAGCATGCAAAAGTCACAAAAAAAATGTTTTCTTTGGTCCCAGAGTACAGTAAGAAGGGAACATTAATTGGTGCTGGTGATGACAATGCAAATTCACAAAGGTAACTAATCAGGGAGAGGCTAGGAACCAAGCCACGATGCAAACTCTTCAAACAAAAATTTGTTTAAATAACTGAGTTGGGAAAAGGAAAAAAACCCAACCTAGTATCTTAAGTCATCTTGAGTCAAAAAGAGAACTAGTGCAATTTAGGTAATGTTCTTCTCCCTACAAAATGATTTAAATATATTTAGCTCCTCTTTAGTGCACATCACAGTAAATTCAAGGTTTTAAGGGGAGTGGCTTTTTGTTCCCGCCAAGCACCTGAGGCCAAGCCCTGGCCCCCCAACTCCCACCGCTTCCTCAGCTCTGGTGCTCATCAAGAAGCTGGATATGTGTGGACACCACTGAACACCAACCTCCTCGAAGACACCAAAAAGACCTTTTCGACGTCTTTTGTTAGTCTCATTTTCTTCAGTTTTCCCTTCAACCTGAAACGGTAACAAGTTCTATGGATTACTGCAGCAGTTACCAGATTTATCCAAGAAGTTCCTCCCAGGATATTAACTTTCATAACCAGACCAGTGTGGCCTGGCCTGCATTAAACAAAGCAAACACAGGTGAGCAGCGTGAACATGCGAGAGGCCCCGTTGCAGTGGCATGTCTCATTAGTCCCCCTCAGCTCAGCAGGGTCGCTCCTCATGCGAGGAGCCTGGTGGCCCTCACAGCAGTTATGTACATAAAAGCTGCCCTGTAACCCCTGACTGGGAGCTCTTGCTGGACTCTGATGGGTGAAAAATACATGTTCGTACACTTTGTTGAACACAGACCCTACAATGCCAGTGTTTACCTTTTCCTCTTTCAATACTGAAGAATTTATAATTGGGCCCCTCACTACAAGAAGGACATTGAGTTGCTGGAGCATGTCCAGAAAAGGGCAATGAAGCTGGTGAGGGGTCTGGAGCACAAGTCTTGTGTTGGAGTGAGGACTTATGAGGAGTGGCTGAGGGAACTGGGGTTTTTCAGTCTGGAGAAGAGGAGGCTGAGGGGAGACCTCATCACTCTCAACAACTACCTGAAAGGGGGTTGTGGTGAGGTGGGTGTTGGTCTCTTCTCCCAAGTAACTAGCGATAGGACAAGAAGTGGCCTCAAGCTGTAGCAGGGGAGGTTTAGACTGGATATTAGGAAAAATTTCTTTACGGAGAGAGTGGTCAAGCACTGGAACGGGCTGCCCAGGGAGGTAGTAGAGTCACCATCACTGGAAGCATTCAAAAAACATGTGTAGACCTTGCACTTTGGGACATGGTTTAGTGGGCTTGGTGTTGTTGACAGGTAGACTTGATGATCTTAAAGGTCTTTTCCAACCCTAATGATTCTGTGCGATGCTGTGTAATTCATAAAGCACTAGCACATCCCTGAAGGAGGCATTACAGCACCAATTATTCTGTGAATTTTGATCTAGACTGCACTGGTTTCCAGATAAATTACAAAACCCAGAAACCCGTCACTCTTTCACTATAACCTCCACACCTCAACCTAGATACCTGCATGCAGATCATGTGTTCACAGTGCAGACATATCTCCTTTTTTGGAGCAATTACTGTCTGCCTTAGTCTGTCTCCCTGACTATGGCTTTACATTACAGTACTTAAGCAACCAAATTGCCTATTTTGTGCTCAAGATATGCACATATTATTTTACTGAGCTAGAGATTACACAAATAATAAATAATACATCACACTCAGTCCGCATGAATTTGCAAAATAGTCAATGCTTAAAAATTTGTATCAGTTCTTATTAAATTCAGTCTTGCAGATTTGATACAATTGAGAGGTTTTTTTGTCTGATAAATATCACGTTAGGTTATACTTCATGAACAATAAACTACATTCCATTTATTTGCATTTGCCCACACTAACTTAGCGATTGCTCAGCCAGCTTAAGAAAAAAAGAATAAAGAGAGAAAGATCAAAGAATACAGGCTTCCTTTTTACATATACACTGTTTGTAATAAATCATTATGCAGTGAATAGAAGTAATCCCAAACAACTTCTGGGCAAACACCAAAAGAATCAGATGACAATATTTTGATTACTTTGTATGCTTTGGTACATTGTCTCTCAAGCACCAGCTCTCAGCAACCTAGCTTGACACTTCACCCAGGCAAGAGTGAACAACATTACAGCACAATGTACTCCGCATGATAATCTGTACCACATAAAAGCAGAATTTGCCTAAGTGAATGGAGCAAACAAAATGTTGCCTTCCAAAAAAACCTCACACAAAGGACTCTCATTAACATATTTACAAAGAAGTGAAAGACAAAGCGATTTAATTGCCTAGCAGAACTCCAAGAAAAAGGACTGTGCCCCTTATTGTGTAAACACCTCCATTCATTTACTAGTCCGGAGCACAGGAAATCTCAGTTCCTCTCCAGCCCAGCCCACACTCGTAGGAGAATGGACACCACTATCCAGCCCAGCACAGGCTGCCAGCTCGCTCAGCCCGCACCCAGATAAGGATCCCTCTCCCAGCCAAATGAAAGGACAAACTGGATGGTACGGAAAGTTCACTAAGCGACACCGTTACCCTGGCTGAATTTTCGACTCTCCGATATGGGAGTGCTCTCCTACAGTCAAACCTGGATAATGCTCAGCACCGCTTTTTGCCGGGAAGAGAACCATGAAACTGAAGCCACAGTCAAACTCTTAACTCAAGCAGTTGCTTTCCAAGGAGCTTAATTTCCCAGCTAGTTTCAGACAGTTACGGCACTCGCAAGTCTCCGTCCTAACCCGAGGACTGTGTTTCTTGCTCAGCTTCACACCCCCTCCAGGCCAGGGCTGCAAAGCCTCATACAAAACAAGGTCTTGACAGTCCCGCTCCCCAGGCTGATTTGGAAAAACATCACTTCCACTTCTCATCTCAAATGAGCCCCTGTAGCGCGAAACCAGAGGGGCACATCCAGCAATCACCCCGTGCTTTCACGTAGTGCCAAGAACTGTACCTCCTGTTCTGGCACAAGGCTTATTTCATGACGGGAGGTTAGTCAGAGGGCTGTACGGCTTAGTAATGGAAAGCTCTACCCACTACCAAGAGTCTATTTACTTCTGCACATAACTCACGGAAAAACAACAACATTGTGGTTGTGAAAAAGGTTTACATTCTAAAAATGTCACCCACAAGAAAAAGCAATGGGTTTTTTTGCCTATTTGGTTTCTCACTGCTCGGTTAGCTGGGAAACGTGTCACTCGGTTTTGTGTATGTGAGTGTCAGGGAAGTTACTTCCTGCCAAGGATATATGAGGTTACTGGGCAATTCACTGTCCACAGGCTTTGAAAATGTGTGTGTGGATGGAAAATATTCAAGACACAAGTCAGTCTAGGAAATATCTGGAAATTCTGGAGTAATTCTTTAGGTGAAAAAAAAAAATTTAAAAGTCACATTTCTACCACAACTGAGAAGGTAAGATACGAAAAAATTTAAAAAGCAATATATTAAAATGCTGAGAGTTGCAGTACATATATGTACATCTGAACTTCTATTAAGGATGCTGAACTCCAAAAGTAGGAAATCTGTACTTTTGCAGGCAAAACTTAAGAGTCTCTGCAGAGATGTAAATGAAGTAATACAGTTAAGCATTAAGGAGGTCTGTTAAAAAAAAAGACAAAAACACAAAGAAAGAACTTGAGAATCATGATAGTCAATACACAGTTCCTGGCTAGCCCAGGAAATTCAAAACCTGGAACAGTTTTGCATTAAGCTGCATTTCAGAAAATGCAGAAGTTAAATTAAATTTTGGTGGAGGAGTACATGCTTGCTGTCTACCTTGTGCTGGTTACTCTGCAACAGTTGGACTTGAGACACTGCTGCCTTTAAGCCAGGCTGTGTAGACACGCCCCATTTAAAAACTGAAGTTAAAATGAAAGTAGGCTTGGCTGTGAAAGCAAAGCCCCTCCTCAATGTCTCCTTTCAGCAGAGGACCAAATTAATGAATAGGCAGAAGGTGAAACAGTTTATTACCAAATAATTTCATTAGACTAACTTTTAAATTAAATCATGTAAAACTTTTGAAGTTATAACCCATTCAGAAGCACATAGACAATACTCTCACTGCCCACAGTCCTATATGCCAGACAGTATTAACTGCAGTCTCCATAATCCTTCAAGGCCCTGGAGCCTTTAATCCCAACATGTATGGGCATAGGTGTGTTCTATACAGGGACATAAACAGGGCATGGCAATAGCTTTTCATTCATAAGTGACCAACAGAGAAAAGTATATGGGTATTACTAAGAGATCATTACCTCAGTCATGCTAGTCAACCTGCCCACTGTTTGTCACCGATGCAGAGTGACATCTAGAAGGGTTTGAAAGCTTCCCTCCAGAACCTCGACAGCATCCACAAACCGAGCAAATCACTGCTTTCATTAAAAAAGGCACTCCCTCCCAATCAATGAGCATTCTAGCATATCACTGATTACTTGAACTGATATATAATATATATATTTATAATTTTTATA